AAAAGATGCTCTTGTTCCACTGCATTATATGCATATCATTCCATGATTTATTGAGAACAAGGAGGGAAACAGAATTTTTACCTCCATCAAGTGTCTGGCAGTTTGTAAGGGAACAGAAATATTCCCACAAAATTAATAAAGCCCAGGTGTGTATGTGGTAGGCTTGAAACAAGAACTCAGGGCCAGCAGCATGCCAAGTACCTATTCCTCCCAAATCCCACTTGCCCTTATTATTGTCCATGTTCTCGTTTCGATCTGTTTCACAGAAGTTGAAACATCGTCTTTAAAAATAATGGGCATTTCAATTACTCTCTCTTTATGACTTCAGTAATAGGCAACTCCAGCTGCTCTACAAAAAAACCCTCTCACTAATCAACTGTACATTGCTAGGAGCACACAACACAGAAAACCTCCATGCCTGTGCAAAAGTCACTTGCTTTGCATGTCCCTCAAAATCTCTGACTCGGGGCAATAACTGAGTACTTGCAGAAGCTCAGTGTGTTATCTTTGATTTTAACACTAACAAAAGAAACCTGTCAGTTTATGAGGCACCTACTATGTGGCAGTGCTTGCAAAGTTACCTTATGAGTTCCAGTTGAGCAAGTTCTTGATTTGCTTGAAATATTGGCTTTTTTGTAAAAAGTTCACCCAGGATGCAGCTGTAAAACAGTTTTCCATAATTCCATCATTACGGCTTTCAATACAGATTGATAGAAACATTTAAAACTTCTTCATGCCTTGTTTCTATCCTTTGCTACACTTCTGTCCAAACTCTTACCCACAGCTCCAGACATCGATAGCTGGTGTGTATCTCTCTTCTCCAAGCAGAAGTTCCGGCGGCCGATACCATAAGGTAATAACTTTGTTGGTATATGGTCGGCTGTTGGGGGGAGGAAGAAGAGAGGACTATCATTTTACTACGTTCTCATTTCTGAAAGAGTGATACCTTAAGGACTTTACTTCTGTGATGCTGTACATTCTCTTAATTTAGTCCTGCAAAGTTGCAGCTGCACAACAGCAAACACAACTGTCTGACCTAGCTATAAAAGGTTAGATTGAAGATATAAATAATAATCACACAGCCACCTTGATGCTATGTGAATTCTGTATCTCAATTATTATTCAGATACTAATACTGTATATTTATCTCATTGCTAGTCATTTCAGGAACAGGACCTGCTTGGATAAAACCAGTAACTTCCGGGCAACTATTGATTATTAGCGTACTGTTTGTAGGATCTCTACAAGAACATTTTAAAAAGAAAAAAGTCACTTTTCCCTCTTTTAGCAGGAGCAAAAGAGACAAAGTCTCTTTCTGGAACTACATCCTTCAACAATTTCCATTTCAAAGCCTGGAATGCTTCCAGTATCTTCCTACATTTCACAACACATTTAATTCTCTACAGCTCTAACCAGAAGTTTTGGTCACTGCGAATAATCCTTTCCACCCTCTCACTAAAGGAAGGATTTCCACTATCTTAGACACACTTCTTTTTTGTGCACAGGCTGAGATACAGTACCAACAGTTCAGAATGGAAAGCAGAAAACAGATGTTCAGTTTTGGTTTTGTTTCAACCAGGGTGTTTTAAAAGTGATCCCAGAATCCTTTCAGCTTTAATAACTCACTCTTCCCAACACTAGGTAACTCCAAACAGAAAGCAGAGTAACATTAAGTGCAGAGCATGAACAACTGTAGAACAAAGTCCTGCAAGCTCTTATAACATACCAAGTGGTACAGGTACCATTTCTGCAAAATCATCTGAGTCTTTTTTTTTTTCCTTAAAAACTCCCCAATTCATTTGGAAAATGCAGTATGTTTTGGAAACTATCCCACCATTTATCTTATTTATCTGTGAAGCAAGAATTCCTCTATGAAATGTTTACACAGTATGGACTTTCTCTACACATACATTGCTCATATATATTAATGTATGGTGCTTGTTATTTGAACAGATGTCTGCTCATGCAATCTGTCATATCTCCTACTCCAAACATGCTAAATCCACCAGGATAACGTTTAAAGGAGCACAACTACAACAACCAGTGGGAATTTACTTAAACTTTTATTTCCTCCCCATTATGTTCCTGCTAAATTCTGTAGCCTTTTAAACAGGGTAAAATTCCAAGCAACAGCAAATCAAATGCAAAATACATCAATTTAAATCATCAGCTATTATACACTTGTTGGTATACGTTAATTACACCTGTTACTGCAGGTCAGAAGCTACTTAGAAAGAAAATGAAACAAAAGAATTGTCAAAAATCTACTAAGATTCTAATTAGCCTCCCAAGATCAACTGGCAATTCTATTAGCTAACCTAATTACATTTCAATCTTGGTTTCATTTAGCAATAACGGTGTAATAATGTTGCTGTTTGATGTACAGTCAAATCTGTTATTTGCACTATAAAGACACTGAACTTCCAATACTTAATGAACGGTGAGATTTACAGGCAAAAATTTAAAAAAGAGACCTTAAAAAAAAACCAAAAACATAGTAAACTAGAGGGGGGATAAAACATTAGGTCAGTTTGGTGCACACTGAAAGAAGAAGGTGGGGTAACATCAAACCTTTTTATTACACGTACATCCAAACTCAAATATTAGTCAGCAGCTGCTTAAGATTATCTTACCCTGCTACTATGCTCAACAGTTTTAATAACTATACTTAAGCATATTTTTCTGAAATAATAGCTCAGAAGACAGTGAAAGTAATGCTATCAGGCTGAACACCAAACTAAGAGCTACGTGAGAAAACAATCATCCCATAAAGCTAACATCATGGATATTATTTCCCAAATTAGGCATGCAGTACTCCAAGTAACCGCAGGTATTCAACCATCTCTGTATCCAACCACCTCATCTACACTAGTGAACATTCAGCTTGAATTTTGAAAATTCAGTTCCACGTGACAAACACAACATTACAAAGTAAATATTGAAAGTTCTTAATAACAAACTGTGCACCTGTTTCCTAGGGTATGTGCATAACGAAGCCAAGAACAACAGAAGCACAAGTCGCAAGAAGTTTCAGAATAACTTTTATTTAAACTTGTATCTCTCTTTCCAGCAGATTCAACAGCACTGACTGCCTAAAGAATACAATGAATCTCTTCAAATCTAAGGTTAAATCTTACAGAATTTAATGCTTAATGAACAGGAACTGCATACTAGTTTGTGTCAGGAAAAAAAAAAAATTTTCTTTCCTTAAATAAAATCTTCCATATACTAACAGAAAGTATATACTTTAGGTTACAAAACTAGAAACTTAGGACTGTAACTTTTAATTTTCCAATCAATATATGGCCACACTCTACAGTTATTTATCCAGAACACCTGGAAAAACAATACACTTGCACAGAGGCTTTTGTGTTTTGATGTAGTGTAAGACAGCACGCACTTCTTTCAATTTCCTAAGCAATTACTTGCATTGCAGTGCAGTAACATTTCCTCTAAACAAAACAGTCTTCCGGCCCTCATAATAGAGTCAGGCAAAAAGATTAAACTTCTGAATGCTTCTGCACAGTATAATTATATCTTACCTTTCCTCAGAGTTGTACAGTCGAGCAAGCCCAAAATCTGCGAGCTTTATCTGCCCTCTGGTGGAAAAAGCAAAGAATTATTCAGTGGTTAATCCTGTTAGGATTTCCTCCCCAAAATCAGGTGAAGTTTAAGACTGAGACAACTGGAACTAATCTTCACCAAATCACATTCACGAAGAGGCAATGCAATCTATGCATGTCTTCAGTAAACAAATACACTAACTTACTGAATAGCAAAACCAAGCAAAAATTAGGTTTGCTCATCAAATGGCATTTACCTCACTGGATGTTAGTCAAAATTTAGGCATATACTGTAAAGTATTCAAGTCAGTAACTGTAGGAAAAAAACAGAGGGAGGAAACTGCTATTTTGTCATGCCTTACTGCTAGCATGAGCATTTGTACAAACAACTATCAGCAGTCATAATTCCTTCTAGGAAGCCATCAAAGTTCTGCTCTTGTAAAGTTTAAACACAGCCCTTTAAATCAGGGTGACTGACAGATAAGGATTTCTATTTTTGCCAGCAGCCAACTTGCTGAATGACACAACCCCTAACCCATTCTTGAGTTTTCCCACATATGAGGTCAAGAGTAGAAGATAGAGAGCTCTTGCCTGGCAGTTCCCACAGCTAAAAAGGCACTGCTCAGTGACCAAAACACCCCACTATCTATAAAGCCTGGATGATTTTATAAAGCCTGGATGATTTAAACAGAAAGCTATCTGCAAGCTTCTCTAATACATGAATGTTGAACTATTACATGGGTTTTAACTTTTCTGTACTGATGAGCTTTTTTACTCCCATCATTTTCAAATACACGTTACTTTATCAAATTAGAGCAAGACTTGCTGATGTGCATAAGAATGACTATTTTCTGACAAAATATACAGGTTATACTTTCCATCCATTTTTCTCCTCAGATGTCTGCTCAGATTTGCTCTAACACCATAAATAAATAACACCATAATAATAATAAATAACACCATAAATAAGTAACACCATAAATAAAGGTTCCCCTGAAATTTACATGTTTACTCTTTGAAGAGGGTATTTGTGGAAGGTAAATGTCTTTGCTTAAAAATTCATTGAAATTGCATATGTAAAAATTACATAATCCATGTGTTTGGCTTCAGGCTCTAACCAGTAATGGGATTTTAGAAACACTGGCTTAAAATTACTTAGATCAGCCACACACTTTTCCTTCTTCCAGTGGAAAAAATAAATCTAACGATGCTCAAAATATATCCTCTGTAAAAAAAAACCCAAACCTCTCTGTAACCTGGATTGGAGAGAGCACAGTAAAAGAACAAGCCCTTCCTTTACCATAATGCACTCTTCTCTACTGTCAGGTTACACCTCAGCTTCTGAGCTCCCAAAGGTGCACAGAGACAACACTAACCCTGGAGATTAGCAGGCAATAAGATTAGGTGTGCAGGCACAGGGGGTAATATACAGGAATGTGTACATCTGTTTAAGAGTCTGTATCATAATCTGGCAAGACTGCAGTAGCATCCAGAGTTGAAAGCAGTCTAATGTTAGTTCACTCTAAGGGGAAAATGAGGGGAAAATGGAAAACTTAATTTGGAGAGGGGTGGGAGAAAATTAAGGCTCTACCAAAAGAGACCCTTGGTCCATTTTGCCCAGTATCTCATCTCCAACAGCAGCAGCAGATTTTGGGGGAGAAGATGTAAACCTACTCCCTTTGGAGTTCATCTTTCTTATACCTAATGATCACACACAATCATTGTGTTAAGGATGCTAAAAGAGGTGTTCCTGTCCATTCACATTAGAAGGTGTTAATGACCCTGTCCTTGAATATATCTTATCTTTTTGAATCTCCTGACACTACCTGGAAAACCTCCTGTGACAGCAAACCACAAACTATCTGCTCTGTAAAGAGACTTTTTTGCTGTGATAAACCTTGTTCATATAGTTGCTCCCTGGATTCAGTACTGCAGATTTTGATGTACAACAGTTTGTAATGAAGTCATCCACTACTTTCACACCAACTTCTTATTTGCTGCTGTTGTGCACTGAACAACAGTATGATTACTAATATGATTTGTCATTACAAGGAGTTAAAACATTAAGAAACAAATTCTTCTCCCTCTTTGGTTACATCTATAACTGCCAAAGGCCTGTTTGAACATGCCTGATTGAATATTCTTTAAAGCATCATCCTGCCTGATGAAGATGAGGACCTCAGTATCATGTCATGAAGAACCAGCCTGGCCACACTTCATCGTGAAATGAGATGGCAAAAAGAATACACATCAAACACTGGTGTCCTACAAGTCTGTTTTAATGTATTTGAAATGAGATAATTTCCCCCCAGTACTCTGACCTAAAAGACTCAAGTTTTAATCCTGCTGTTTTAACATAGATAAGTTTAACACGCAGCTGCAGGATCCAGTGTTAAGCAGGAACATAACCATTTTACAAGTGATTTTAAAGAAACTAGGCTATCTGAGAAACAGTTTGGCTAATGACTCAAAGCAGGCAAACTGTGAAGATGAAAAGAAGGATTTAAAGACCTTGTTGACATACAATTTTTGTTACATAGTTTTAAGTAATATCCATACCTATTATTTAGTAGAATATTTGAACATTTGATATCTCTGTGCAAAAAGTTCTTCTTATGGCAATAGGCCAAGCCTTCCATCAGCTGTCTCATGAAAGATTTAATATGACTCTCATTAAAATGAACCAAGCCAGATTCCAGCAGTCCCATCAAGTCATGGTCCATATATTCAAATACCAGGTAAAATGCACCTAGGAAAAGAAAGTGAAATGGTAAGAGAAACAGAGAAAAACCGATTTCACAGCAGTCCAAAGCATTGCTGCTGCCTACTTTTAAAAGTCAGAACTGTTTTTCATACAACTGGTACATTTTATGCAATACTTATAGCTGTGCCTCATGTCCAACAACAGCGATGAAATACAGTGCAGTAAAAATGTTTTCATAAAATTGCTGTTCCATGTAAACAATTATACTAGTCAACTGTTTGTGAAAACAAACAATGCAACCACATGGTGCTTTAATCTTGGACATGGTACCCTCTCTGCAGCTCCCAGTCTTCATTCAATTTATTTGAAAAAAAATAGTATTAGTTTAAAAAGTCAATATTCCTTTGTAAAGTTTGGGGAGAAATCTAAAAATAAATACGTACAAGCATTATTAGTTCATCTGTCGTGACTCAGTGACTGATTTTAAGATTTCTGTGTAACTGGGTCAGGAATAAGCCTGCGCTACTCAGACTAAAAATACCCACACGACAGGACAAAATGAGAAAGCAGAACTAACCTACTACCAACAGCAGCTCTGCGAAGAGGGGGTTCATATTTCAAGCTGCCACATGCATAAAGCACAACAGAATCTGGTCTCATCTCACATTAGCCAGTGTAAATCCACAACTAAAACTATTCCAGCCAAGGCTCTTTGATATATAACTCAAGAGAGGAAAAGCACTGAGTGCTTCAGAAACAGCACTAACCAATCTCCAGCACAACCTCTGCCAGTGCAATCTGTTCTTTCCCTTCTTATCTCTGACGTGACAGTGCAGTCCCTGCAGAGCACTGGTGGCAATGCAGAACTCACATTCCAGTGGGTCTGTCTACCTTGCATTTTCAAAAAGCTTCCCCTCAAAGCCACCTCCACAAATAGCTTCTGCCCAACAAGAACTCACTACAGGTTCTTGTTCCTAAAGCAGAAGTTTCAACTCAGAAACCAGTGAAAGTCTTGGAGCAATAATGACAATCAGCTTGCCAGAACCCATACACACACAAAGCCACATTCAAATGATCTGACTTGCTTTTTTGCATAGTAGCTGAACAGGTAAGAAAGAATGCCAAAATCCACCTGCCATTTAATATTCAGGAAATAGATTACTTGTATGGTAAGTATTAAACTTTTAACAAAGATCAGCATAGATCAGCTAAACCACAGGCCTAAGGCACTCAAGAGTTCATTGTTTTTAATTTAGGTCCTTTTGTCCTACTCTATGTCATACAGAGGAAGCAAAGTAGTAACCATAAAACACCCCAGCTGGTGTGTACAGAGGAGGTGGAGCAGGAGGTGAATCTAGCAGGCACAACACAATCCCATCACTTCAAAAGGAGAGAAGGAAGTATTAAGAGCCATGAATAACCAGAAGTCTGCTGTGTTACTACTTGTATAGCTGAGTTCACCAATGCAGTTCACCAGTTCAGCATGGAAAGCACAGAGGCTCCTAATCTTGGTCTTTCCAAATAAGATAGCTGGCAATCTGAAGCTAGGTCTACTTCACTGTCAACTGCTCAAGTATGAACCATGACATATTTTTTAAATGCCTTCAAACAAAACAACTGGTATTAATGCTGCAGTGCCAGAATAACCTAGATATGCCCTTCAGAGAATGTCAGCTCAACAAATCTGAACAGAAGTGATCTTGGTATCTTCTTGCTCTGGAATACAAAGGAAAGTTAACTCTGTCAGCAGCTGGCTGCATGTGCAGAGATGACAAGGAGAAAGACTGACTGCAGACCTGTTTAGTGAGAACAACTGAACACAGTCCTCTTGTTTACATGCAAAGTAGCCTCCATGCCTTGAGCAATTTCCTGCTCTGTCACTAACTCCCGGGATTTTTTCACTGCTATTTATAACCAGCAATCACAACTGGTACCCACATGCAAGAAGGAAAGCTGACAATTCAGACAATTCATAAATACAGCAGAGTAGTGCCTGAAAGATGACATCAGATTGTTTATATTCTCTGCAACTCTCATTAAGAAACATACACAACAACAGTATAAATGCAAAATAGTCCTTCTATATCAGATCAAGAGCAAATGCACAGATCCACTGCACTTCTGCATTCACTGTCTATTTACCTACTGCATGTCAGACAGCACTAGAACTTGTTTTAAAGGTTTCAAAAAGGAAAACTGTTAAAGCTGAATCTTCTCCATTCATTATGAGAAACTGTTAAAATTGGTCTACTAACCTTGGCAACTTAACCACTTAAATATGATTTTCAGTATTACTCAAGCTGTATTTGAAGTGACTCGCCGCAATAAAGTTACCAAGCAAAAGGAAACGAAAATCCTGTTAGTTTGTTCCTAGACAAACACGCTGTCCTTTTCCGACAGATCTACAGTTTCTGTCAGAGACAAACACGCTGTCCTTTTCCGACAGTTTCTGTCAACAGAATAGTTATGTTATTCCACCTGATCACTTCAAATCTCCATTGCTTTTCATCCTATTGAGGGATCTGATCCTTTGTAGAAGGGATAAAAGCTTTAGTTATACAGGAAGAAAACAGTCATGGAATATCTCATAAGCAAACTATGCACAGGCAGGAGTCTGCTTACTGCAGCTTAGTCTGAGCTGAAGTTCTTCATGTGGTCAAGGCATTCAGTAACTTAGTTACATTTTAAAATGACCTTTTGTCTCATGCTAGCTTTGCCCAGTACCCTCATTTCTCGCAGCAGTGTCATAAACACACACCTAAAGCTCTCAAAGTAAAGCACATGCAAATTCAAATGAACTAAGAATTATTTATATGACTTTAACGTTCCTCATATGTTAAAGACCTGCACTTCCCAGTGAGTAAGTACCTGTGGAGTGGGAGGCAGCCTACAGTCCATCTCCATATGCTGCAACAAAGCACTAAGAGCAGGGGGTGTGTTTCAGGCGCCCCATTTCCTTTGCTAATACCACGCAGCTCATCTCCTTTCCTGCATCTACTGAGGTAATAAGAAACCTTAATGTCACTGCATGTTGATGGAGCAGCAGCTGGAACAGCTGAACAGTAGTAATACTGCCTGCTTCTGAACATGGGATAAGAGAGAGCAGCTGAATCAATTAGGGAGGTACACAATAAATAAAGGAGACTCATACTGATGGAAATAATCCTTGCCTTACTCCTTTTGTTTGTACTTAGAAAAATTCATCTTTCTGACCACTTTGTCAGTTAAGATTGATAGAGGTCAGCAAGCGAGATAGCAATTTAGAATAAACAAGGAATTAACATTTCTCCTCCTCTTGGTCATATATTTCAAGTCATGGAGCTCTAACAGTAGCAGCTTCTTAACACAAAATGAGCTGGGGTTTAATGCTGTAAAACTATGCATGCAAAATAGGTAACAACAAAACATGGCACTAATGATCTGTAATAAACAAAGGATTTTCTGAGAGGCCAAAAAACCCGAACAAAACATAGACTGCATTTTTGTGACACAAGCAGGCTCTGAATTCTTTTGGACTGTCATCAAATCACAGGGATCCAACAAAACAGGACATCAAGTTATGCGTTTGTTCCCAAAGATACAAGTGCTTCAGACTGGGGAGGGACAAGGTGGAGGAGGGAGAGTGCATCAGGGGACAACAATCCAAAAGCCTCTATATACAACAGCTTTTAGAAAATATTTTCCAGGTATATTTCATAGGGAAGGTGTTTGTGGTTTCTCAAAATACCTGATTAGATACAGATCAGAGGAACCAGGAGACCAAAAATGCCTTATTAAAAGCAATTTTCATTCAATTCTTCTATGAATTCATTACAATAGAATATTTAAATACAGAAAGCCTTTAAAAAAAAACAGGATCCTGCCTCATTCAGTGCATAGTGTGTACAATGCTGAGTTGTGGAACAGGTTCTCAACACTTGTTCTGTACTCACTGTCCAGAATGAGACTCCATCAGATTTTCATTTTACTAATAAGCCTCCTCAGCTTCTTCTACGTGATATGTAATTTTTCCCCTTGACAGATTCTCTTCTATTTCCTTAAGACTTCTCTTCCAGTACTCAATGCTGCACTATATCCCAAGAGTTTTAAGCAGGATTTAATCAAACAGAGCTTGAAAACTAAAGAAGAAATCATCCATCAATTCCATGAATTTCCTTACATTTAAATTCCTTAAAGTCCCTTAAATGGACATTCATCTTTGCTTTCCACTCATGTTTTATGAGCCCATTTTCTAATTTGCAAAACACCAGATATAGGTATAGCCACTGAATTAGTCACCTTAAGACTAAAGAAAGCATTGCTGCTATACTTTTTTTTTTTTTTAACATTTTCACCCAATATTAAGTTTCTGTTTGATGACAGTGTTATTCTCCCCTTGCAAGTTCAACTACATTCTGGTCTTGAAACAAATCCAACCCAAACTCCATGTATGTTCTGAAACAGACATACAAGCCAAGGGCATACAGAAACCCTGGGAGTAAATACTGTCCTTTCTTCATCATCACATACTACAGGGAAATAAGAAACCAAGCAAAAGAAACTTACAGAAGAAGAACAGAAATCTTTGATTAATCATCAGGGATTTATCTCATTTTGCCATGAATCAGGTTGAAAAGCCACTCAATTAGATCTGGACCCATTCCAGACCAGACCTCGGTACAGCACACATGAATGGGAAGCACCACTCAAGCAGCCACACTATTCCTGGTAACTTAGCTGCAGCATGAAAACTATTTGGGCAAGAAGTTTCAATCAGCTATTTTGGGAGCAGCGAGACAAGCTGTAGATAATGAGAAGTTATCGAAATTCAGATCAGTTTGATTTTATTCAACTTCCTAAGAAGCCCAGACAAAATCAGCTACAATGTAAGTAGAGAAGCAGCCATGTAGAAGAAGATGACTACATGGATTGCTGTCACAAACTCCTTCCAAACTACAAGCTTTCAAACAAAGGTTGTAGTTTGGAAGCCTGACAGCTGCGAGAAAGCAACCTGTTAGTCATACAACAATGTACTGCAGAGGTCAGTGTCCTCATGTACTACAGTACTGTCAAATACCTACTTCATGTCTAAAACCTGTTAATTTTTACTGCAAATTAATTCAGAATTTAATCTCTTTAGATCTGCATATTAATTACAGAAACACACAATCCAAACAGGTAGCTCACACACAAAAAAACCAATCCAGAACACAACAAAACAAGGTACGATATTAACCAGATCTTTTACTATTGGTCTCCACGCAAAGTTTTACACCCTACCTCAGGTGAGCAATCAGAAATGCCTATTCCAGCCAAAAGGAGGAAGGGATGCCAGTCAGTACATTCACTGGGTTTAGCCACAAAAGCTAAGTCAGGGACTGTCCATTTGTTTATAAAAGTCCATTTGTTTATAAAAAGAGATCATGGCAGTCCCATAGTTAGTCTGTTGGGCACTTGTGAACAGCTTCCAGCTGATAAAAGGACAACTGAGAACTGAAGGACCATGTCATGTGCCCAAAGAAAAAAAAGAAAGACACGCTTAAGTCATACAAATGACAGACTCACTGAGGAAACAAACCAGAGCTGACAAAAACCCAAAGTAAGAAGAGCGTTTTTTCCAATGATTCACATACCTGATAAAGTGACTCAACTAACTTAACTTATGAGGTGTATAGATTTGAATATTCCTATGAAATAGCTTTTTATTTTCAACTTCTGTTTTAAATCTTGTTTTCTTCAATTACCCTTGCATAGGAAATGTCACAAAGTTTCTCAGAAAAAAAAAAACCAAAAAAAGACAAGATGAAGAGCTTCTGCAAAGTACAATCCTCCTGTTCCAAACTCTGCTCTAAAAGGACATAAACTGAAATTCATAAACATGAACTCCAAACAATTTGAGCTATCATCAAGCAAACAAAGGAAAAGAGAAGCAAAGTTTAGGTGCCAGCAGACTTTGTCAGAAGTATCAACAGCGTCAGACTGCTGTTGGAGACCACTCACAACTGCTCCTGAACTAGCTCACTAAAAGAAAATGTTTTCCACAAGAATGACCAGAGTACTGAAATTTTAGGAAAGTATTGAATGGAAACTACAGTTCATCAGGGCTATCAAGTCAAGTGAGTCTATGTCCTGAGAGAAACATAGAAAATATCTGTGGAACACACTGTTAAGTCAGCTGTTAATGCAGATATATACACAAGACTGAATACAAACTATGAGTCATGTGTTCCAATCCCTTAAGCCTGTGTGTTCACCTATCCCCTCTGAATGACAGGTAGGAGAGAAAAACCTATACAAGAAGCATACAAAATGGACACTCCTCTCTACACCCAACACATACGTTTTACCTGTCAGGATTGCGCCTCAGAATCAAGATGTTACATCACCGATTAGTAATCGGTAATGTTTATTATCAAGCATGTCTCATGCATAAGAAAGACCGCAAAGTTAAAAACCTCTGCTCTTCAGTATGCAGACCCACTGAGCTGTGCATGAGCCCAACCTAAACAAACAGTTGTGCTGCCTGATGTGATGCATTTCCACTGATGGAAATACACTTAGAACATCTGTAACACACCTCTCCAATGTGTTACACTTCTTTTTCTAAGGGTTGGACTAAAAAGAATAAAGCCAATACTATGTAAGCTGTTCCTGTCTTTAAATTTATACCCCAAGATGGCCAGGATAAAACACCAACATACTTTATGCCATTTTCTTTGAAAAGAAAATGCTGTTCAAAATATTGAGACAGACACAATCACTTTTACATGAAGGACACAATCCTCTTTCTTCTAAACTTTTGAGTACATCACGTAAAAACACATAATGCGGATCAAAGTATCTGGACAAAGCTGGCAAGCCAAGCCATTGTTCACTTCCAAGTCAGTCCAATGTCACTGACTTAGAAAGCATCCTTAAATCAAGTCCTGTAGAAAGTGTGCCCAACACTGACATTATTGTCAGGAACCTAAATTGCTGCATTCAAAACTAATGAGATCTAACAAAACACCAACACCCCACCTGAAGGGAATAAGCAAATGAGCAACATGTCAGGATATGACAGCCTTAGACTCAAAACTAACTTTACTCGTACTAACTAGAGAAGCATGTGTTGACAAATGTTCTCATTCCCTACTTTTACAAATGGGCTATTGGTAGGGTTTTGCAAGTTACATTCCAAAGCTGAAGTACACATAACATACATTAAGCACAAGCATGTTCATCAGATGGGCAAAACACTTGGTTACTACTGTAAGCTCTGCCTGTGTAAGATATCACTACCACTTTTCCAATGGTTCCTCATTAAGCAGCTTACTTCTGTGTTTGCAACAGTTTACTGTGAAAATGATGAAACTTCTTCCCACTTGCATTTGTTCCCTGCACAGACTACACTTTGGCCATGACTCAGCTATAAATCCCCATCTCACAATGAACTACTCATTAGAGAATACAGTGCCTGAAAAAAAAAACCACCACTACTTGCATCTTATCGCAGACAAGTCATAACAGCAGTATCATTATCATGATAATGCTTTCAAGAAACTATCAAATTAATTCTATTCTAGTACCTCCAGAGAAGACCCTGCCCCTGCAAATTTTTGCAACAATTAAACTTTTTTAACTAAGCTGTTAAGTAAGAATGAGAAATTAAATTGAAAGTAATATCAAAAGCAAAAATACAGACTTGGACAAAAAAACCCATTTGAAATTAATGAGACACAGTTTGAAGTACAGAAAAAAATTTACAATTCAACCCTAAACATGGCACCAAACAGAAAGGGAGAAAATTAATTAATGAGTCATTAACTATTAAGTAAAGGCTCAGTGTGGTCTCATTAGCCAAGTAGGTTAGACCTAATTAAAACTTTGTACAAGATTCACATGCAAAGCCTAAACTGGCTGTTGCAGAATGTCAGAATTTAGAGCAGGTGCTGACCACTGACCCTGCAGGTATCTAGAGAAATTCTTTTGCTAGCTGCTTCCTATATTTAAACACAATTAAAAAAGCATGTCAGTGCTGTATACACTTTATCATACTCTAAAGATGCTAGGAAAAATATCCAAGGTCATTTCTGCTTAGTTTTGACAGCCATCTCCTGACTCATCACAACATCACCTGATGTTTCTGCTGGCTAAGCAGTACACATGGCATTTTCTACCTGTACTGGTGCTGGGAAGAAGCACAGGTACTACATTCCAAACACCCTTCTCACCCAAACCATGCAACAAATTGCCCACAGGACACAAAAATACCATCAAATGATAGGTTTATAAGGCTTGGGCCTAAGAGGTCACAGCAACTCAAACAAGACAGACTTAACACTGAAGGAACCAAAAAGCAGAAGTCTGCATGCCTTCTGTTCGGGGGAAAACCACTACCACTATACAAGTCTCACTTTTCATTCTTTTAATTTCTTCTTCTTCTTGCCTGTAAGACACACATGCCCAACCATAAAAAAATAACTGAAGCACAATCCAAATAAAACCAAGACCTACAATGCCATCTCTTCAGCAGTGTACAATACTCTAAATGATATGAGAAAACACTACTAAAAAAAAAAGGCTAAAAAAGCTAACAATTACAAGCTTCCAATTACTGCTGGCTTCACTAATCCACATAAGTCAAGGAGTCAAACATCTGTTCCTCTCCAATAAAACTGGAATCAAATACATTTTTTATTCCACAAAATATTTGCAGAAAACATTTCTATGAGCAAAAGGCATAGCTGAGTTAAATAACTGAGTTCTATTAGTAACTAAATCAAAATTAAAATCCCTTGTCAAGCATCACAATTTGCAAACACATTTTTGAATGAAGTTTAATTTCAAATCCAGCATAGCAGACTGTCATACTAAGAGCAGGACCAGAAAAAGCTGCCCCTCTGTTAGAGTACATACCTTTGTCCTTCTTGAAGTCCAAAGCATCTTCCTTATCTGTCACTATTTCCTTCATGTTGATAATGCTTTGGTGATTAAGCTGTCGAAGAATCTTAATCTCCCGAATAGCTGTAATTGGAAACCCTTCCTTTTCATTATCCAAACGTACTTTCTTTAATGCTACCATTTCCCCTAAGAGAAAATTCAAATAAAAAACATTAAGATTAGCAACCAAACTGGGATTTAGTATTGGGTTGGTTTGTTTGTTTTTAAAACACTTCACATTTGTTCCTACTTTTGAATGAACTAAGCAGTGAATATTCTGATGCCTGCTGCAAACACTACGCTGAACAGAAATCAGCATCACAGAGAGAAGCAAAACTACAAATGAGGCTTTTCAGCTATCCACTGTAAGGCCTATCTTCTTGCTCCTGCATACCTCACTCACCTGCCCTCATGTTCCACATCTATCAAAGAGTGATTATCAGCAGCAGCTTTACAGACAGAGGCCTGTGATTGATCTGGATTTCTTAGTACCACATCACCACAGGTCAGAATGCATATACCTAGTCAGAAATACTACACAGTTGAAGATATGAGGCAGACGACTGAGTTCTGCTTGTAGAAAGTATACTGATGAATTTCAGAAGTGTCACTGCCATGTTTGCAGGGAAGATAAATTTCCCTTATTGTTTTGCAGCAGGCTGGGCTGGAAGAAGCTGAAGCCTGCAAAATGGCAGGAGCATGATCTACTCATAATGGGAGATAATCTGAAGATGGTATGCCAGCTCAATCATTTTGTTCTTGGAAGTTTATTGTTACGGCTGGGAAGTTAATTGACAGCACAGATATCTTTGTCAGCTCTAAAAAGTACTTATCCCACACCACCTTACATGATACATTCACAACAGATCACTTTCCAGCATGACACAACATCTATTTGCTTTGAAAGCCCATTGCACAGCTTGTTATAAGGTATCTCAAAGGCCATAATGTCACTCTTCAGACAGGATTTGAATCCAAAGCTAATGGAAGGTTTGCTATATCTGTATGGGTGCATTCAACATAGAGAGCAACAACTTCTGCTAGAGGTTAAGAAATGACTGCCATGCACAAATAACCCTGAAGTTTGCCAAAGAGGCAATATAGTTATGACAGGATTAAAAAGCTAAACACGCAAAGAAGAAAATTCCAAGAGAGCAGGAAGAAGATCCTAACAATGATTTGCAATGGTTCTCAAGGTAGAGATAAAAATCTGTGACAGTTAGACTTAAGAACTAAAGTTTGCCAACAGAGACAGGCACAGGTAAAGAATGAAGAAGGAATCATAATAGTAATTGCTTATTCTTCTGGAGAACAGAAAGAAGCAACTGCAGCTGGTATGTGGTCCTATGTGATTCAGTTACTGCTGAAAGAGAAAATTATCCAGCACTCAAAGCATGTGCAAATAAGCCAGAAGGGCAGTCACAGAAAGAACTACTAATTAAACAAAATCAAGCAACATACAGCATATATGAAGAATTTGGACACATTATCTATTCAGAAGTAGTGACAATAGTCTTATGTCTCATAGTGGTGACTGCTTGCCTAAGTTATTGCAGCAACAGGTTAACATGAAATTTAAAAATAATGTCACTGCTGTAAAGTCATTCATACTGCAAGAAAAATACCTAACATGCAACTCAAGGGCTGAGTTGCACAGAAGTAGATTCACTTCCTAGTATCAGCTAGTGACTATTGCAGTATGAAGAACAGTGGCCAAATCTCACGCATAACTTCTTTCACCCTTACGTCCTTTTACAAACTTCATTCCTGTTTGCCAACCTGCCTAGGCTGCCATTTTGTGTCCCCAGATTATTTACCCTCTCTTCTCCACTAGCTCAATTCTGTACAGACCATCAAAACTCAATAAATAAGAATCAGAATTTAAGACTGCTCAGCTTGCTTTCAGCCACAGCATTACAGATACTGTCCAGCACAGCAAATGATAATTTCTGATTTAGACAAATGCTAGATTTACAACTGAACAGAACAACTAGAAACTTTCCAACATTAGAGAGCAGAATAGCACAAATTTTACTCAAGACAAAACCATCCTGTTCACTTAAAATTACAGGATTACATTTACTTTTTTTGAACTTACCTGTGTCTTTATCTCTGGCTTTGTAAACTTGCCCATAAGTGCCTTCACCAATAATACCAATGATATCAAATTTATCCACACAGCGCTTTCCCCAGTCTATTTCTTTTTCTTTTGTTTCACCATGTCGTGGTCCACATATTCTAGAAAGAAGCAAACACTTCTAAGAATACTGACAATATATCTAGGCATCGCCTTAACTCTGAAGAAACCCTCAACACTAACTATTTGAGACATTATTAGTCTACTGTCTTACTACAATTAAGTGGCAATAAACCATGCCGTTTGAGTCAGGCCTCATTAATATTAAAAAAGTCATTAAAAAGCAACATTCTTTTGACAAGAATATATTTTAAAGAAACTGTCATTTCTCCTTGCTTGACAGGCTTTGAAAAAAGTCTCATAAACATACTTTGGTCTTCTCTTGCTGTGTAGCTGAACTGCTGGTTTCTTTTCTTCAGGACTTTTGGGTACCTCAGCTCCTGCAGGCAACTCAGGTGGAAGTGGCAAGTCTGCAAGCAGATGGCGAAGCTTCTTCTCCGTTTCTTTAACTGTCTTCACTGACACATTCTCTCGCAAACTATTAAGAAAACCACAATTTTGCTAATAAGTTGAAGACAGCAGAATGTTAACATACATAAAAGAAAACATATTAGAATTATTTTTAAAAAAATACATTCTAGACTCTCGATGCATCAACATTTGAAACCTCTACTCTTAAGAGTTCAGAGGACTTGGATTTGTGCTTCATAAATGGCTTACAAATAGCTCTCAAAGACGCACAGCTAACCACAATTCTACAGAATCATAAAATCAGGACTTTCTGGTGAAAGCTGAGGTCAGTTCACACCAGAAGCATTACCAGCACAGACTTCTTCTGCCATGCAAGCTTCTTTCCAAGCTTATGGCCTAGACTATTAAGAATATCTAGAGCTCAGGTGCTGCCAGACATCAGAAGCGTAGTGGGAAAATCTGTCCTCTGACTTGTCATAAGAAAGAGAGAAGATTGTCCTAAACCAGTTCTCTCTGAAGTTGGTCTCCACAAATATGAGCATCATGGTGACAGTGACACTGCAGGGCATTACAAGGCTGTCCATATCACCTCATTACAGATTCTAATCACATACATTTGCTGAAACACTCCAGATTCAACATGTTTCTAGTGACCAGCATGTAAATCAAGTGGAAAAAAAAAAAATCAGTTAAAAAATTAGTAAATGTTTTTCTGCCATGGGTTACTGACATCTAACCAATTTTTAATTGACCATAATTGGTAACAGCTCCTAACTGTCAATCTGTCTTGAGAAAAATCCCCAAACACATACAGCAATGTATTCCTTTAATTATTACTATATACAATGATCCTAGAGATGCTCTTCCCATTCTAATGGGGAAATTTTGAAAACATACTTGCTGCAGGTTTGTTTTTTGTTTAAGCACATAATGCTATTTCACCAGAACTTCCTTGAGTTTAGCTAGATTTGTGTAGCTATGACACTTTTAAAGACACTTAAAATATTTAATTTCATAACTGTTTCTCCCCTGCAGGACTCTCACATCGCATTTGCTCTTTAAATTTCAAACTCTGTCACCACATCTTAGTCATGCCTTGATGGGACATTTTCCAAGATAGTAAAACAGCCAAATTGCACTGTCAGCATCCTTATCTGTGAAGGTTTCTCTGCAACTTCTTACCTGCTTAGTTTCACAGATAAAGCAGGAACTTCTGCAAATGGAAAGAGACTGCCAACTCTCATCATGGAAAATGTATATATTTTTTCTTACTTTAATTGCCATTAATCTTTATATAGCTCAACAAAGCACTCCGGTGTTTTGCATGCCTATGCTTCCCCAAGAAAACAGAACACTTTAATGCCTTCTACGACTCCTCAAGCTGCCCCTACCCAATTTTCAAGAAGCATCACAAGGAAGCATATACTGCCCTCATCATAAATATAATGGTTTACATGCAATAAATAAACCACCTTACCACAGTGCATGTAATGATCATGGTAATGAAAACTTCTTATTTTTGAAGCTCCTATATTTGTATTTCTCTCACAATTTTGCCCCCAGTATGAGTGAAAGCATAACATATGAAAGGTTCTGAAACCGAACCTTTAGAAGTATCACATGAAAACAGAGGCAGCCAAGAGCAGCCTTTTTTTTTTTTTTGCCTGGTCTGTTAAATCACACATCATTGACAACCAGGGCAATCTTCCCTTTCAGCTACCCTACACAGTGGTTTTGCAACACTGCTGTTCCTTCAGGTCGCTGATTTGTGGGTTTATCAGATTCTTACTGAACTTCACAACTGACAGACACTAGGAACCAGACAGTTCGGCACAGCATCAAGCTTTCTTTGTTGGCACAGTTTCCCCATAGTAACGCTGAGCCCAAGGTAAATATCTTTGCCCTCCTCTGCCCTAAAATACATTAATCTTTCTCCTTTAATAACTTAAGCTTTATCATGTCTTATAAGCACAACCATTCTGATCTGAAGTTTGCAACATCCTATAGGCAAAACTAAGTAAAGCATAAAAAGGCACTCTCTCACCTGTCCATCCTTCTAATGCAGCTGTTTTGCAAGCATTAAGCTATTATTTTTTTTTGAAAAGAGAATGAGTTCAGTGCTGGACGAACCACAGCTTAATTGTGGCTTAACTCCTCACTACAGTTTAGCTAAACTTAAAACAGGTACTAATGAAAAAAAAAATCAGAAGCAATTAGCCAGCTTTGATAGGAAATCTCATTTCATATTACTACAATTAATACTGCAACATCAGTCATATTTAGTTAGACTAGACAGCCTAGTTTTTAAAGAAGTAACTCTTACTCACAGTGTCAGGAACCTTATTTACCTGGAAAGGATGGCTTTGCCACAAATTTAAATGCAAACATACATTTGCTACACAGCTGTGACTGAACAGCTGGAACTACATTTGCTAGAGTGCTGAAGGGAAGAAAATAAGATTTGTTTTACTCCTGAAGAAAAATAAATATCTGTCCAATACTATGTTAGGTTCTATTTGTTTCACAAGGCCTCCTGTGCACCCTTAATGTTTAACACTGCATTAAATTACAAGCTAACACAAGAGAAACATTTACACCTCTAGCTAAAAAATTTCAGCTTACTTGTTGCCAGAAGGTGATTTCTTATATACTTGTGAGAGGCATGTAACAGCGTGAGTAAAACCAAAAGTAACTTCTCATCACCAACCCAAAAGAAAAATAGTGAATTACAGCATAATACAAAAATTTCCAATACAAATCACAGCACATATTCTCCATTAGGACCATGAAGAGACTTAACATAATCTAAACTCAGATGACACTTGGAAGTGTTGAAGAAATTAATTTCTTCACTACAGACCAATTTTTACACTTCAACAGTTAACACAAATGACAAGCCACTAACATCGCTTTCATTATACATACTCAAAATAATACTGATCTTTGAGATAAATTACACTAAACCAATGCAACATATAAAACAGTATCTTTCAAAGAAAAGAGTCTTTACCTCAAACCCCAGCTAATTAAAGAATTTTCACATATTGCTACTGAATCCAGCTTTTCACTGGAAAAGTACATGCTCACACCAAACTTGAAATCTTGAATCCCTTGACTGAAAGGAGCCCTCCTGGGCCAAATCCTTCTCTTTTCAAAACCAGTTTAATTATTTTTAAGATCAAATTCCTTCAGTTCACTAACAACCACCACATCGAACAAAGGAAGAGCAAGAACAAGATGCCTAATGCATCAGCAAGATCTGGCAAATAGGCTTATATTTATTTTCCAAATGAAGTAACAACAACAACAATAATAAAAAGGAACAGACAACCCTAAATGCAAACCTGTCAGAACTCACCTATCAGTTTCTTTGTCTTCAGGCAGCGTGGGAGGCAAAGGCAAGGGTGGCAGTGTGGAGGTCGGTAGTGCAACAATTCGATCCTTCTCCTTGGTTACTACACTTGGTGTACTCACTTTGCTTTTTTCCTTTACAGTGACTGGTGGCTGTTTTACAACTGCTACTTTACTCTCTTTTACAGCTGCAGGCTTCTGCTTAGCAACTTTGTCTGCAATTAAATTATTTTCCCCTTTTGTTTCAGGAAGTGAGACCTTGGCTTTTGCCTTGTCGTTTTTCAAATTTGCACTGCTGGTAGGAGAAGGTGTATGCTCAGTTTTTATCTTCTTCAGGTCCTTTACATTGTTCACTTGAGGTGCACTTACAGCAGTGTCGGTGTTTCCCTTCGTGGGTGTTGAAGTGTTGGAAGCTTTTGCACTGGCTTTAGCTGCCTCAGCAGCTCTTGCTTTTTTGTTTTTGTTCAGCTCAGCAGCCAGGCTACTCTTCAGAGTCAATGTACTAGGAGAAATACTTGAATGACGACTTCTGGATCTAGACAATCTGTGTCTGCTACGAGACCTTGAATGCCTTGATGAATACGGACTTCTGCTTCGAGATTTCGCTGATCTCCTGTTTCAAAAGAGTGAAGATTTATCCAGTTAAAACTTAGTCTAGCTGCTTGCCCACCATATCTAATTTTTGGACAAATTACCATCTTTTAAAACAACCATATCACAATGCATAGATAGTATTTCCTATGAAATAGGAAAGACTATGCATTAAAAAAAAAAATCTAGTTAATCAGGATTCTAAACCTAAACAGGCTGTTAGAAAAATATTAACTTTCTCAGATATAGCTTCTCCCACTAGTGAACTGCAAAATACAAGAATATCTATATAAGGGCAGAAATGTTCTTTCTTCCTCACTAAAGAGATATTTTTCTCTGTTAAAGAAATCTCATCCTATGCAACTTGTACAAACGTCTTTAGTAGATGCAGTATTTAAGTGCAATTCGGTTGACCAATCAATTAGCATTTGACAAAATGATATCAATGTTACAATAGGACCAGAGAAACCTAAACACAACACTGAAGCAGTAACTGTAGGAACTTCTTAAGTTTCACTTTCATAAATATCACTGAAGTTAATTGAAAAGAAATGAACTACTAAAGGCTGCAATGTAGCCAACTGAAAGACAACAATAAATCTCAGGTTTCCTTTTCTGAAATCTAATTGCACACCTGAAAAAACTCCAAGCAAATAAACACAAACAAAACCTACAAGTACACAATACTTGTTACAGCTACTGATAAGCAAACATAACCCACACCTGCAGAATCTAATAGAAAGAAAAAAAACCCACATCTAAGTCATCTACAAAATCCTAGCAAGAAAACAACCTAGAATGAAGGCAGGTGCAGGGGAGCAAACCAAACTTTTACTGTGCAAAAAATACTATTTCATACAAATGATTTTCCATTCAAAATTTCGAAGGGATATCCTAATTTATTTGCCTAGCAGTAGTTCTTCGTTAAACGGTTAAAGGAAAAAATTTAATTGAGGTGAAGGGCATGGAACAAGTAAAGTAGCCTAATCCACTGCTACCACACAGAAATGCTATGAAATAAATGAAATAAAATGTAGGGGGTTTAATCCATTTTACCATACTAAGAATAGCAAGGATATTAACCAGATTTACAAGTATTTTTTGATTGAACTTCGATGGAAATCTATTTTGTTTATCAGTTGAAGGGGAGGAAAAAGTATAATCAGGATTAAAAAAAACATTATTCATCAGCTCGACAAAGAAAAATATCAAGCAATAGCAAAAATTAAGACTTCCTGGAGACACAGCCATTTCAGAGTTCAAAAGATAGCATCAGTGTATGGAGGTTGCCAAAACAAAAACAAACTAAAAACCCAAACCAAACCAACAAACAAAAAAACCTCAACAAACAAAACCGAAGCCAACCATAATCATTATGGTCAGGACTATCCACTCCATACCAAATTTAATTTAACTGAAAATTAAATTAATTCCATTTTAGTTATGAACATAATGTTTCCATCCAATGTTTCAACTGAACAAATATTGAATCTAGTATGTTCTGTTTGGTCTGTGGTATTTAGTACTTTCCAAATTTACATGCATTATAAAACAAACTCTTATCAGCCTTCAGAAAATGTCATTGAGATGGATGAGGCTTTGAGCAACCTGGTCTAGTGGGAGGTGTCCCTGCCCATGGCAGGGAAGGTTGGGACTAGATGGTCTGTAAGGTCCATTCCATCCCTTAAATTCTATGGTATCATTCTGTGATAGGAGATTGATCAAGAAGTGACTGGAAAACACTGTCTGCACACTGTATACCGTAACACAGGCTTCAAAATTCTATAAGTAAAACTGAAATTCATCCACACAGCTAGAGATTCTTGAAAGAAAAAAATAAATACAATCCCAGAGGTTGACAACTCTTGGAAACTAGCACAGTTCAGTTCTATGTCAGGAAGCAGGTTTTATATCATTTTCTGGCACACGAGGATACCAAGAGATTGTAATAACAACAATAAAAATAATTATCATAGATGTTTTTCACACTTCAATAAAAAAAAAAAATTACAATTATCTTCTCTGAATTTTCAACCAGAATTTAACACTCGGTTCAGTTAAAGAGATCTTAACGTCCACAAGTAATAAACACCAAATAAAAACATAATATTGGTCAGAAAAATTCCCTTGAAAACTCACTTCTGAGCCAGGTTGCTGAAGTTATTTTTCTCATTACTGCTGATTTGAAAATCTAAGTGCTAAATCCCACAGAAAATTTTCAGAGGCTTGGCCAAAGGGTAAAAGTTAACAAGTACAGAGTTCCATGAGATAAGTTGGGGCAGCAAGCAGAAAACATGGGAAGGTCGATACAATGCAGCAAAATACTGTGCCAGAGCTCCCCTCACACTTATCTTGCTGTCAGGGGGAAACACTGTCTCAAGCAGAGGTGTACTGCTACAGTACTGCTACTGCACCTGCTGTACAATCAGCATAATTATATTTCTCCATCATCAAGTACAAGCTAACAACCCCCATTAGTCCTAAACTGACTTATATAAATGGTGCATCGTTTACAAGCATGTCACTGACCTGTCTGGAGAAACATTTCCCTGCACATCATGTTCATAAATCAGCTGTGTTAGACTGATACTCGCTCCAATTACCTGTAGAACACAACCTCCATCCCAAGGACTAAATTGCAACCTGTACTAAATTTAAAACATGCCCTAAAGTCTCAAAATCAGCTATATTTCTTTCATAAGTATAATTTGGCAGAAGAGGGTGTTTTGATCACTGCCTAATATCAAGAATCTTTGTAACAAACAGCAACACGCATGTAATTTCATATGCACTTGAAGAGAAGTAGCAGTTTGAAACAGCACAGTGGTTGAGACACCATGCTCGATTCTGAAACTCTTTCTGTTCCACTTCGGTAAGAAGAAAAACAGGTTCATATAGATCACTACTAGGGGTGAAATGAGAACATCTGTTCAAATTAATGACAACTAATTATCACTTGATCAGCTACCATAACTTGGTGAAAAAGATGCAGTTTTGAAAAGCTAAGGCAAAAATAACCCAAACCTTTATACTTACTTCAAAAACAAACATGTAAGGAAGGCAAGAATTGACAGTGGACTAATGTCTGTATTTTACCAATACTAGTCATGAGAGTCTGGACATGAACATGGATTTATGCAAGCTCAGAAAAAAACCCAACCAACCATTCTCCATCCTGCGTTTCACATCCCAACTGACAACAGACTACCTTTTTCATGTCAGAATGGCATCCATGTGGGCAACAACAAAGAGATGCACACAAATACTTAAGTTTCAGTTCCAGTACCTATTACAGCCCTTAACAGCAGATGGATGTGACAGCAAACTAGTTATGAAATAAGCTGAAAAGTATAATCTCTGCACCACTATAATTTTACCAAAAACTTCATTATTTATGTCAGAAAAAATAGATCTATAATACATGTCTGTGCTAATAATAGACTGGAACTTCCTCTGGCATCCCAAAGACCTTTGCAAGAGCCCCTTGCTGGACCTTGTCCACTAGGCTAGACCCAAGAGAGCTACAGCAAAACCACTCACATTTTCAACTAAACAGGTAAATGCTGAATCTTCAGTAAAAAGCAGTTTCGTCAAAGTGCTAGTTATTCAAGCTACAATGATAAAATATACCGCTTTCATAAGCCTAATGATCTTTTCAAACAATCAACGATCAATTTCTTTCATCTCTGTAGTTCAAAAGTCCCACGAGAACCTTCCAGGCTAGACAGAACTTATGTACAAGTTTCCATCTATAAAAATGAAACAAACCCAAAAATATGAACATTTTACAGGCTTTCCTGCAGTGTATACAGCACCCAGAGCGGAGAAATGTCACCTTATACATAATAAAACCAGCTAGTCCACTCTGTTCAGAGCTAACACTCGTTTGACATAAAAGATGAAGTGACAGCAGCACAAAGATGGGCTCAGACAACAGCCAGTGTCTGCCACTTAACAGGACACTGACTACTTACTGGGACCCTGAAAAACACCAGGACAGACATCTGAAATACAAGGTCCTCTCTAAAACTTCCAGCAGGTTTCTATTAAATGTGTGTGCATGCATACACGTCGGTATATGTAAATGCCTTATCTGACAGTCATCACCAACTACTTAATATCTAGTCAGGAACTTGTTTTTAACACAGTAAAATGGAACCAAAGAGCAGTGGTTACAACTGCACAGAATTGCACTGCAAACAGCAAATACATCAACAACGCAATTCAAACTTTTCCATGCCAAGCAGGGAGAGATCAGGAAGCACACTAAACCTAAAGGCCACATCCACTCTTAAACAAAAGTACCAGCATCTGCTAGTAACACATATGGGGAGAAACCCCCAAAAAGTCACTGTTTCAGGTAGATTTCCTTCAATGCTTCTTCCTGTTTGCACCCAGAAGTGTCTCATTTACAAGTACCTTTGCCACACATACCCATTAACGGTCTCGTATGAGCACTTTGAAGTTTCTTCACACAGGTATAGATCCCTACAGAAGGGTAACTGCCAGATCTCATGACATTCATAAAATCCCCTCTGAACCATATACTGATTTCAATATGGTTTTATATATGGAGATGAGAAAAAGAAAACTGATTTGCCTAAAGACTCTAAGTATCAGTAGGACTAGTCTGCATTCGAACCAAGTTCTAAAGCTGATTATTTTCTTCCCTGGAGACAAAGGAGCACAACTAGATTAGCCTCGAAGAGAAATGGAAGAAATCACATAATATTACGCGTAGCTATAAAATGGAAACAGAAAAAAAAGGTTGAGGATATCATCTACAAAACATGTATGAAAGAGGCAGATTTAAAGAAAGCAACAGAGGAAGAAAGCACTAGTAAGGAAATTATCCTGAAACCGAAAACCTTAGCACTGCTGTCCTCTATCTTTCAGAACAACAAAAAGAATTACTGCTCCCCTCCCCAAGACAAAAATAAAAGTTGGTTTAGGTACCACAGTTTTGGGGGTTTTTTGTTTGTTTGTTTTTGTTTTTTTTTGCCCAGTACTCTAGGTTTCATA